TATTGTAATAAACTCGTAAATATTCATTAAAAAATAATTGAATACGAATTAAACAAACAGAAATAGAAATTGAGATAATTGTCAGAAAATCATAATTACGAAAATCTAATCAGCCTATCAATCACTAAATTATTTCCTTAATTTGAGAAGTTTTTATTTATCCCAAAACAATGATTTATTTCAACTCATATTACAGAAAACCCAGATCCTAGTCAGAATATACGCCAAATTATTTGAAAGATCTTAAAAAAAGAGGCAAGAATAATTATTTCTTAGAAAAAAACGAATTTCATATTTTTGTTCTATGGGAGCAGTAAAACTATGACGTAAGCTCTAGAAAACACCAATAACTGAAAATAATCTTTTCAAATGCACCAAAACTAATTTAAAGAAAATTTAAATCAAAGACCATGTTGAAATCGAACTAAACATATCAATCATTATTATAGCCGACATGGCATATATTCAATATACAATACCTAGCCGAAACATCAACAACATATATAAAAAAATGATCTATGTAAGATATCAGAATTTCCAAAAGACATAATAAACTCAGAATTCAATCAAAAAAATGCTTCTAAATATAACCTTATACTAATTTACAAACAATGAGGAATACCAAAACCATAATTTTAATTTATTATCGGATATAAAGATTGGGAATCATCATTTATGCATTTTTCTTGAAAAATAGAAAGAATTTGAAAAATATTGGTGACTAAATGAGTCAAAAAAAAGCAATTCAGAAAATATTTCATACTTTAAAAAAATATAAAATAACAATATTTTTGGTTTTTTTATATTGCTTAAATTCTTAAATATTGTCTCTATGAATGGATTTCTTTAAAAATATTTTTTAAAAAAATAAAATAACTAGTAACCACCACATTTGCCTGACATATAACTGATAGGTTTTCAGATCATATTTAATTTTAATTTTTATGTTAGAATTTAGAAATTTCTACCCTTGCCCCATTTCTTATGAAACATTTTTAGATTATTTCTAAATTATGTCCTAAATTAATTAACAATTTTTTTAACTGTATTTTAAATCTTGAGTGAGTAATTCCTTCACATATGATAATTAAATCCTGATGTAAAGTAAGACAAATTGATCAATTAAACGACTTAAATCGAAATAAACTCATGAATTAACTCATGAATAAATATAGTATAACCAAATTACTTATTTTCTTGACAAAATATTACATATCTTATAACCATTTAACATTTTAATCTAAATATATGTAAAAAGTAATTTTTCTACGTTGATAACTTTAGATCTCCAAAAAACATTTAACTTATAATTTATTTTGTCTTAATATTGCTTTAATATTTCATATATTTTTTTTAATTTGAAAGAAATTCACATTTTTTTTATAAAGTTAAGTAAAAACAAAAAAAATTATGACTGCAACTTTTTAATTTGAAAAAATTTATCTAAAAGCAACGATAAAAGCGTGTATAAAAATATTTTAGGCCAACGACTTATTAGTTATGAGTTTTAATTTTTATATTCACATTGAAATTTAAATGCATACATGGGAATTAAAACTGCAAATAAATTTAAAATATTGTATTTTATAATTGCATATAAAAATCTTTTTGTTTTGTGTAAAATTGCTTTTTTTGTTTTCTGTCCATAAATTAATTCCAATGTTTTTGCCAGATAATTTGTTAATTTGTGTTGCTCTAAAATATAAGATAATAAATTTTCTTCTGTATTTAAAGTGCCAACGATTTTCTAGGCTGTTGTATAGTAATTTTCTTCATATTTTCAAGGCTCTTTATTATGATCGCATCCATATAATGTCCATTTTTTAAACTATTGATATTGTTCAATAGAATAATTATTGGTGAAACGTTGCTGATTTTTCTTTATTCTCATTGTATGATTACTGTAGTATACACTAGCAATTATTCTTTTACACAACGCCTTTAAAGTAACTTAGAATCAGAAGCCAAATTTTTTGAACCAAAATATAAATATAGCTATCATGTTTAAACTCAATCATGCTTTCTAAGATGTTTACATATGCAAAAATCGATAAGAAAATGTGAAAACCTGTTATAAATTTAAAACAACCTACTTATTCAATTGCGAAAGGAAACTACTAAGTTTATTATATCATCTATTCTAAATCTATTTTGTTCGGGCAGTTTCAAATCTATATCACAGACCTAGTTTGCTTGATCTGACCATGTATTTCATAAAAAACCATAAAGAACAAATATTTCATGTAGTTAAGAATATTTAAAGCAAATGAGAAATATGAAAGTAATTAAATACATTATTTTTTAATTTGAGAATATGACTCAAAAGAAATGAAGAAAAATAGATACAATAATATGTTTTCAAAAGCCTAAAATTTTATTGTATTCACATATTAGCGATTCCAATAGTTGGAATTACGATTTTATAATCCTAGAATTCTTTATTAAATAGATTGGAGTATGGTATCATACTCTAATTCTTAAATACACAATTCTCCTTTACAATTTAAACAAGGTTCTTTGGAGATTATATCTGCTATTGTGCTTAAACAAATTAATATTGTGTTTATTCTCGCCCAAGAACAGTCTAAAACGTAATTTTAAGGATTCTGACTCGGTGTTACAAAACACACATAAGTTTATCAGGCAATTTATACTCCTATACAATGAGTGTGATTTAATTTTTCGAAGTCAAAATATTTCTTATTTATAAGAATTATTTCTATCTCATATTTTTTGCAAAGTTGTTCTCTTGGTAGTATTTTGCGTTTAGTGCATTCTGTAAAATTCAGATCTATATAGACTCGTATTTACTTCACATCGTAACAAAATATAATGTTTAAATTATTTGTATGAAAGTGTTTAAACTTTAAGAGATTAGAAAATTCATATTGAAATAATTTCAATGCATCATAAAATTAGAATTAACAAACTTTTTGCGTTGTAGATTTCATGAATATACTTGATAAAAACATTTCACTAATTAATTTAGAGAATATAATTATATGGTTTAATTAACAAAATAAAATTCAAAAATGCATTAAAAAATCCGAGATTACTTTAAAATTCTATTTATTGGTTTCAAAAATAGCCACATTTTTTGTATAGAATGATTGAAATACACTAAGAATTTTTTTTATAAATCTTTTTGACTACCAAATCTTTTAAAAATCAGTAATTTCCACGATTTAATTATAAAAGCAAATGAATGGATTTCTCACTAAACCTACTTACTCATCAATCAAAAAAGCTGATTTAAGTCATAAATTTCTTTTTTTTAGAATAGAAAATTTACTGATAATTATATTCGACTTACCATTTGACCAATCAATATAAAGTTCAAATTTATAAGCTCGGATTTTACTGAAATTCAATTTAAATGTTTACTTACCTCGTAATTTCCTTAGAATTAATATATATTCTATTTTTCATGTTTTATATGTCATTATAAACAAATATTACTTGTCTCAGTAGAGTTAGTCTTTTTTTTGTACTCTAATTCATTAAATGGAAAAATTCATATCATGAGACTCAGTTACATACATACTAGAATTTCACAATACTTTAACGATAAAAAAACGAATTATCGTTAAATTTTCATACATCTGTATACAAAAGTATGTATTATTATTTTTAAATATAATTTATAATCGAATTACTTGTGGAGGGAGGATAACCACATAAAAAACTTTCTGCTTGGCAATGAGTGTGTGAAACTGGTGTGAGATCATTGTTTGGATTTTTGGTGGGAATACAACCACACTACATCTTCGGTTGTTCCATGGGAGTTGTTATGAAGAGGAGAGGTCTAAGAAATGGAGAAATTTTTTCTACAAATTTATTTATAGTCTTTCATGTAACCAAATTGCAGACCGCAGCTGAACATGTAGGTAATTGCCATATAAAAGCATGGAAATCTAGCCTTGCTCACTTAGGTTAGAAGACTTGCGCCTGGGTGATATAAAAATAAAACCCATTAAAAGCCGGGAGAGCTAAGTAGCAGGTTATACCTGTTGGTATGACATTGCACTATCTAGGTAAACCCCATGTAAATCTCTGAAATATATCTTAGCTAGAAGTTTATTGGGTTCAGAAAGTGTAGAGTAAGTGGGAATGCTGCATAGTCTTGGGGGGAGCCCAGGGGGGGCTTCGGCCTTCGATTACACACCATGCAACGGACATTAACGAACTCCGGGCAACTGCCTCGCCTATTAATTAGGTTCTACACACCTGGTAGATGAAAGGATTTGGGACGTAGGTATCGCAGGGGTTACCGATGGAGTGTTGGGGTAGCAGTCATTTATGTTGAACCTAGAACTGCGTTAATATCATGAAAACAAATATAACACTTGCCACTAGTTTAAAAAGATGTGATACTTTAAAATAAAGTCTTAATCGAATCACGACTCCTAATATAAAAAACAATAAATTAAATACAAAAATGTACTTTATTTTCATACCTAAAAAACATATGAAATTAAAAACCTGCAACGTTTCTATCCATATTCCTCAAAATATTGCCATACTTATTTTTATTATTAATTCAGATTATATAATTATATTTTTTACATTTAAGGTTCAATTTAACTAATCAGATTTATTTTCTTTCTAGAACATATTATAATCAGATATATAATCTAAAACTAAATAGCTTTGCATTGTCTAAGACTTTTCTTCTTTCATATCATTCTTAATTTATAAAACATTTTTTTACAAATATATTAAATATTATTGAAGTATCTTACAACCTAAGCATACCATTTAATTTTAGATATCAAAAATCATATAACAATCTTGGTGGTTTTTTTATAATATATATCTCAGATATTGTAAGATTAGAAAGTAAAATAGTTATAAAAAAAAATATGAATTGAATAAGTTGTGCAGTAAACAAATATATTGGTTATGTAAAAAAGTAATGAAAGTGTATTATTTAAAATATGTATTGATTAATTACACTGATATAAATATCTAAATAAATCAGTGAATTATTCCAAAAAGAATGCGAACGGCGAGATTCGAACTCGCGACCTTTAGATTATGAGACTAACGCGCTACCTACTGCGCTACGCTCGCTAAAAAAACGTTAATTTTCATGTAATAGATTATATCAGTTATTGATATTTATCTACTTACTTACTCAATGGTATTACAACTCATTTTATTCGATTGCTGCATTTAATTTCTTTTTTTTCACTTTCAAAATATTTTTTTCTTTCTTCTTTCAATTCTAAAAATCTGTTTAATTATAAGATTTAAATTGCCTTTAATACAATTCAAAATTATTTCTTCTCTTCACAAATTAAAATTTATTTTTTTCATTTTTAAATGATCAATTCTAAATTATTTTTGTTCAATAATTTTTATTTAAAAATAAGCGTTAAATTTTTTATGTCACGAAAGCAATTCAAACCAAAAAAAATCCAAAACCTCATTTTTACTCTTCCACTCATTCCACATGTAAAAGTAAAAAATAAAAAAGAAATACGAATTGATGGACTGTTCGATACATTAAAATATGTAAAAAATATATTAAATAGAAATACAAATAATATTTGATGAAATATATTTACAAGATTGGTAATAAGGACATAAATTATTATAATTGATAATTAAAACAAATTTACCGCTTTTTTTACCTTCTAAATTATATAAAATTATTTTCTTTTCTCTTTTCTTTTACCATTCCAAATGCATAAACAGAAAAAGTATAAAAACAAAAAAATACTTTTATGCATAAAAAAGTGAAGGAGACAAGAGAAGAGAAGAGAAGAGAAGAGAAGAGAAGAGAAGAGAAGAGAAGAGAAGAGAAGAGAAGAGAAGAGAAGAGAAGAGAAGAGAAGAGAATAATTTATTTTGTACAACAACACCTTTATTTACATATATAAATTATAGAGAAAACTCAAAATATTTCTAGAAATTTCTAAATCTAAGCACATCGAGAATATTCTCTATTTTCGTAGCGAATAAAACTTACCAAAACTTTTTTCATCCTTTCTTTGGCACGAAAATCCCCACAAAAAGATCCTCGATAGAAATAAACCAGGGAAGTATCGATATCTTTAAAAACCCCGATTCCATTTTCATAGCATCTCCCTACATTGTAATGGGAACGGCTATACCCTCTAAGACTTGCTTTAAAATAACAAGAAAATGCCTTATTTGGATTTTTGTTTACCACAATTCCTTCTTCATAGCAGTAACCCATCTTATTTAAGGCACGGGTATGTTCTTGTTGTATGGCCTGTTGGAAAAGAGAAACTGCCTTTTCCCTGTCCATTCTAACACTTACACCCTCAAAATAGATGTTGCCGAGGTTGGTTTGTGCCCAAGCATTATTTTGGTCCGCACTTTTTTGGTACCACAAAAGTGCATCCTCAATATTTTTTGGACATCCAAATCCTTCCTCGTAGAAGAAACCGAGACAGTTTTGTGCGTAACTATTTCCTAGATGGGCAGCTTTTTTCATGTTTTCAAAGCACAGCTCTGCATTTCTAGAGATTCCTGTTCCCATTCGGTAGCAGAAGCTTAATGAAATAAGACTTGGAACAAAGTTATCCTTGGCTGCTAAAGTATAATACTTTACAGCATCTTCTTCGTTTTTCTTTACGCCGCTTCCATTAGCAAAACAGTTTCCAAGGCTGTGGTATGCGTATACGTTACCTAAGGCTGCTGCTTTCTTGTACCAAATGACTGCCAGTCCTTCATCTTTCTTTACACCCAATCCTTGTTGGTAGCAGTGGCCGAGATTGTGTTGGGCTCGGGAAAGATTTTGATGGGCTGCTCGTTTGTACCAGTGGCAGCTTCTGGTATAATCCACTTTTGTTCCTATTCCTCGTTGGTAGCAATATGCTAAGTTACTTTGTGCCCAGGGATATCCCTGTTCTGCACTTTTTTTGTACAAAGAAAATGCTTTGCCTTCGTCTTTTGTACAACCAATTCCTTCTTCGTAGCAGAAAGCCAGTGAATTCATTCCAAATGGATTTCCAAGGTCTGCACTTTGTTTGTAGAGAAGAAATGCTTTACTGCAGTCTTTTTGTACGCCTCTTCCTTCTTCGTATAAATATCCCAGGTTGTACAGAGCTACACTGTCGTTGAAGGAGGCTGCTCTGGTATAAAGCTCATATGCTTTATCTTCATCTTTAACCACACCGAATCCTTCGAGGTAACAGAATGCCAGTATGGAAATACTAGGTGGGTGGTCTTGTAAAGCTGCCTGCTGATAAAGGACTACAGCACGAGACGGGTCTTTTACGGTTCCAAGTGCGTCATGGAAACAAGTTCCTAGGACATAAAGAGCATGTGGATTGTTCAAAGTAGTAGCTTTTTCTAAAAAAAGAAGCGGTTCTTTAAGTGTGTTAAGGATAGACATATAGTGATTAGCTTCTCGTCTATCGATTCGAATATTTGGTCTTCCAAACCTTCTTAGAAAAATAAGTCGTATGAGTGCAAGTGGATGGTAATCGTTAGCCGCTCTAATATAATGCGTTTCTGCCAAATTAGGGTCTGGTGTTGTTCCAACACCAAACTCATAGCAAAACCCTTTTAATGCACATACATGTGGTGTGTATTCTTGTTTCGCCAAATTACAAAACCCAACAACTTGACAATCGTTAGAATTAGAAAGAATGAGTCTTTCTACAGAAGAAAGAGTATAACTTTTTTTTCGCAGAAAATCAAACATTTTTCTTTTTTTAAATTTTTTTTTTTATTTTTTTTTTAATTTCTTACATCTTTTGTTTTTGATAAACAAAAAAGGAGAATTTTACACTTAAAAAGTGGTTTAATCAGTCTTTTTTTATTTTTAGTATTGGTTTATATTAAAGGGGTGCTAAATAAAGGAGGATCATTATAATGTTATCTCCAACTGTCAGAGGTGTTTTATAATGATAATGTTACAGAAAAGTATTAGATTGATAAAGGGGTCTTATTAATGATAATAAAAGTAAAAGATTTAGAGGGTGTTAATTGTTTAGAATATTTATTTGATTGATAAAGGGGTCTTATTAATGGTAATAATAGTAGTGTATATTAAAGGGTGTTAACTATACTATATTTATTAGATTGATAAAGGGGTCTTATTAATGATAATAATAGTAGTGTATATTAAAGGGTGTTAAGCATACTATATTTATTAGATCGATAAAGGTGTCTTATTAATGATAATAATAGTATTGTATATTAAAGGGTGTTAAGCATACTATATTTATTTGATTGATAAAGGTGTCTTATTAGTGATAATAATGGTATTGTATATTAAAGGGTGTTAAACATACTATATTTATAACATTGATAAAGGGGTATTAGTAAGGATACCAAGTATTTAAGTATAACCGAATGCTGTAATAAAAATGTAGAAATTTCTTTATCTGTCTTTTATAATAAATTTTTTAAAAAAAAGAATATTTTAAAAGTAAAAAAATAAAAAGTTACAAAGAAAAATTTAAATAAATTTCCATACGTTTTTTATAAGAAATTTAAATTAATTTTGAAAAAGGCTCTTTATTATTTGAAAAGGCATCTCTAATCCAATTAATTATTATTTAACCGTTTTTTAAAACATTGTATTTCTTTAACAAAAATATTTCCTTTTCAGGTAAATTATTTAGAATTTAATATCAATTTTACATTATAATTATTGAAAAGATATAATTTTTAATACAATTATATTCTAAGAAGGTAAAGAGACTAAGAATTTACCAATAAGAATTCAATTTAGAAAATTATACATTAAAAAAAAATATTTAATTCTTTATATTCATTACTCATTTAATCTTCTTATTCTTATAGTTATACTTCTATATTCCTAATTTTATTAAAATTTAAAACAAAATATAATTTATATTCATTACTCATTTAATCTTCTTATTTATACTTCTATATTCCTAATTTAATTAAGATTTAAGACAAAATATAATTTATATTCATTACTCATTTAATCTTATATTTATACTTCTATATTCCTAATTTAATTAAGATTTAAGACAAAATATAATTTATATTCATTACTCATTTAATCTTCTTATTCTTATATTTATACTTCTATATTCCTAATTTTATTAAGATTTAAGACAAAATATAAATATTTAAATTATCTATAATTTTTAATTTAATTTAATCAAGATTTAAACAAATCTATATATTTCTATCTAGATATTAAATATATATAAGATTGATGAATTTAAATAATTTATTTCTTATAATTTTGAGTCAATGTGTTTTTAATTTAATATTATTTATTCATTAAAAAAACAATAAATCTAGACTTTCCTTTTTACTTTTTAAAAAAATATTACTTTTCAAATAATTTATTTATTACGAATTATTAAGTTTTAATTTCTATAACAATAAACACTTATTGAGGTTTTTACAAATAAAAATATGATTTGGTTTTAAAACTCTAATATTTGAATATGTTCAATGGTATTGGTTTATATGAATAAGTTTAAATGATAAGATAAGCGATATTATGCTTAAACAGTATTAAATTGACTTTTCTTATTTAGTTTTAAAATATTATAAAGAAAATAAGAAATGTCATTAGTTTTTACAGTCAAAGAATTCCCTGTTAATTTTTACATAGTAAGTAATAAGTAATAAGTAATAAGTAATAAGTAATAAGTAATAATCACTATTTAATATTTAATATTTAATATTTGATATTTAATATTTAATATTTGATATTTAATATTTGATAAGTAATAATTACTATTTACTATTTACTATTTACTATTTACTATTTACTATTTACTATTTACTATTTACTATTTACTATTTACTATTTAATATTTACTATTTAATATTTACTATTTAATATTTACTAATTATTAAGTATTAAGTAAATAGTAATAATTCATTTTATTGAAAATCTAATATTTTCAATAAATTTTACTGTTATAATTAAAATAAAATAAAATAAGAATCAGTTTATATTTTTATTCTTTTGTTTCAAATAATTTAGCAGTTATTTTAGATTTGATTTCTCTTGTAATTTTACAAATATATTTGAAAATAATAAAGAATACAAAGATTGAATAGTCATATCGTTGTAAATCCTGCTATCCTTATCGTTGGAA